CATGTTCTGAGTTTAATGGTGCTGCAAATCTGCTTTCCCATGTGGCTCAATTTTATGTTCATCAGCCAGTGAGATTGACACTGAACTCTTGTTTCATTAGGGAAGGGGGCCACTCCATCCTCATTCCTGTTGTGATGGATACAGTTTTTGGTTTAGCATTGTCTTGCTGAAATATGCAAGGCCCTACCCTGAAAGAGACATTGTCTTGATAGGAGCATATGTGGTTCTAAAACCTCTATATTCTGTTTAGCATTGACAGCGCCTTTCCAGATGTGTAAGCTGCCCACGCGATAGGCACTAATGCGACCCCATACCATCAGAGATGCAGGCTTTTGAACCATGTGCTGGATAGTCCCTCTCCTCGAGTCCGCAAAAAGAATTTCAAATTTAGATTCATTGGACCACAGAACAGTTTTCCATTTTGACTCAATGCCTTTTAAATGAGCTTTGGATCGTGTTGACATATGGCTTCTTCTTTGCATGATACAGCTTTAACTTCTATTTGTGGATTGCATGGGGAACTGTGTTCACAGACAATGATCTCTGGAAGTGTTCCTGAGCCCATGTAGTGATTGCCAGTTTTTAATGCAGTGCCGCCTGAAGGCCCAAAGATCATGAGCATCCAATATTGACTGTCGGCCTTGTTCCTTGCGTACAGGGATTTCTCCAGATTCTCTGAATCTTTTGATAATATAATGTACTGTAGATGGTATCTGCTTTTCACAGATTGGTGAACCTCTGTCCATCTTTGCTTCTGAGAGACTCTGCCTCTCTAAAATGCTCTTGTTATACCCATTCATGTGAGTTAGTTGCAAATTGCTTCTCCAGCTGTTTTTTTATTAGTACCACTACTTTTCCAGCCTTTTGTTGCCCTTGTCCCAACTTTTTTGAGATGCTTTGCTGCCATCAAGCCCTAAATGAGTTAATATTTTTCATGAAATGTTCAAATGTCTCACTTATGATATGTGTTTTATGTTCTATTGTGAATAAAATATGGGTCTATGAGATTTGCAAATCATTGCATTCTGTTTTCATTTACATTTATTTACATTTTACACAGCTTCCTATTTTTTTTTGGAATTGGGGTTGTAATCATTTTATCCCTAATTTATTCTGCTGTTAGCCTAAGATGACCACTTTTGAAATAACAACGAGCCGAAGATCAAATTACTGTCTACGTTACCTAGTGCCTAGGGTGGGGTGCACTGGTGGTATGAAGCCACATTCACTGGCAGTATTCACAATCTCTTCCACCCCAGCCTTTCCACAAGATTGCAATGCTTCCTGCAGGACTAAATCAATAAAATATTTCACTGTACTGCACTTTTTGTAGCTGGAGTATAAATCTGCTTAAGAAGCTGGGACACTGTTAAGTTCTGGGATGATGAAGTTTGATTTGTTTTCTGTGAGTGCTGTTACTGTGCTGTGGCCAAACAAAACCTGCCATTATTTTCTAAACCCGCCAATAACTGCTTAGCAAGTGACTTTGACTTCTTAAGATGTTCAGGTATGCAGCACACAGGCTATGGGCTAACATATAACATCGCTATGGTAAAAATGATTTTATGAGTTTATGAGCATAATTTACAGATCAATGTAAAATTAAAGATATTAATGTAAAATGTAGGTAAGTCCAGAAAGGCCATGAGTTGTTGCTATAATTTTCTGGATTGTTATCTTTATATAACACTTATATAATTGTTATATTGTTATCTTTATACTAACACTTTATATAAGATAGTTAACTCATTATCTCAAAATAACAATCTAACAATCCATTATCCATTTTTTTTATTTGGAACACTCACAACGTTGCTAGCTAAGTCATCATGCTTTAGTCTAGTTCTAGTAACTATTCAGTTTGGGTTACAGGCTCCATAGTCGGCTATACTAGTGAATAGATGAGAAATTAAAGCTGTATTTTTTTACACATAACACACTACAACTGACATGAAAACATTCCCTGTTAAGCAGCATATTGATGGTATAGTGTTATGTAGCTAACATTATTAATAAATCATAAGGTACATTAGACTGTATTTTCTCTCATTAACTGTATGAGTAGCTGCCTTTCCTGTTAACTGGGGTTTGGTACAGACAATATTTTATAACATGTTAATGTTAGAGAGTGTTGTTTATTTAGTGGCGATGGTGTTTAGATGTTGTGAAGAAAAACTCAGCCCATACTGAGTTGCTAGCAAAAGATTTATTACATAGTAAAACAGCATCATATCAAGCACTATAGAGCACCTGAGAGAGGATCCGTGCCAATTCTAAATGTCCTCCCCCGAACAGACTGACCAACAGCATATATATATGGTTCTTGTTGCTGAAACAGGAGACAGAGCATATGGTTCTTTTTAACATGACCTCATCTATTTGAACCTAAGAGACCAAGGGCCCCCAACTCACATTCCTAGCCCCTGCACAAACAGAGCACACAGGGAACTCCTAGATACTTGGAACTTCAGACATCAGCTTATACTCAATGTTAAGAGTGTTATTGCCTTCTTCTATAAAACTACTTTTCTAAATACACCTCAAGAGAGAGACAAGTAAATTAAATAAAATCAATTAGAAACTATCACTTGAGTTAGTTTAGGTTTCAATATGTATTTTCAGCTGAGAATAAACTATAATAAATAGTTAAATTTATGACTGTGGCTGCTCAGGCTAATTAACTCCTTGTTTATTTAATACTGTACAGCTGTCATCATCTTCCTCGTTGGCCAAGCGCTGTCTGGGTGGTAAGTTAGTCAGCTGAGGATTCCACCTCACTTGCATGTGAGTGAACTGTAATTTTATTAGCAAGTCCACGGCCGTGCATGCTGTGCAGAGTGAGTTCGCACGGACGTGTTGCCTGATTAGCAAGCATTATTGTCACGTTAGCATCCTCTGGCGGTGAGACGTTTACTTCCTCTCAGACTGCTTTTCACCCACTTTTTTCACTGTTTTCCAATATGACCTTGTAGCCAAGAACTACGAAACATTTTAAAAGCCCTGGTATGTAAAGGCCGGTCTACAGTCCAGGCGACAGGTGTCACTCGACAAAAAACTGTGGTTGACAGATGTCGCAGCGCTTTCGGCTTTCAAAGTCCTGCTCCAGTGACAAAATGTCGGAATATAACATCATCTGTAGTTTCTATGAAAACTTGTGACGATGCAGCTATGAAACAGCAGTGAAATCCCGCAGAACAGTCTAAAAACAGCTGCTACAGTGAAACTGCATTAACAATAGAGTTTTAAGCTGCTAAATCCCTATACAGCAACCACAAATACTACGCGTATTGCCATATAGCAACCACAAATATATGGCATGCAACTGGCGCCAAAACGCCTAATGACCAATCGCCTGCAGGCGTAAAAATAGCACGTCCACACGTAAAAAAATGCAAGTGTACGCATAAAAAAATTGTGTTTACACGTCTTGACATCTTACATTCAATCAGTAAATCTGTATATGAACATATCTGCATTTTAACAAGGGAGCGTGGCAACACCTGACGAAATGCAAGGTATGGTATTCCATATTCATGAGGTTCCTACGTGTGTTACAACGTGGTGTATAGGTCCTGTGACATACCCGTCTACGAGGTGATACATAATCTGCATGTGATAATAAGTAGGGGTTTTGTAACTCAAACGTTATAATCATGTGATCATGATGTATTAAATTCCCAATGTGTGCAGGTGTGCTCCTGTAATCCTGAAAAATATTTTTCTCATTCAATTTTATTATATATTTTACTTCTGAAATTCAATGTGTGGTCTTTTCTTTTTCATAGAAATTATTAATGGGTGTTTTTCCTAAATGTTTCTCTCAAACACGCTATAGTAAATTACCCAAAAATAGAAATCTGGGTCAGACAGTAAGTCAAGTGGAAAGTCTGTGCCCTGTTTAATGAGAGAAGAATGGGAAAGAGGCACTTTGAGGAGGTTTCTGACTGCACACCGTGAGGGCAGGATGGGGGGCTTGCTATTCTCAGTTACTGAACAAAATGTATACGGTTCTGTGCTTTTTTGTCTGGGAATGCAGTATTGAGAGACACATACTTGCAACTTGTCACTTTGTCTGTGAATCCATCCATGAGCAGTGCAGCATGATTCTCACATCCTCCTGAAGTACACAATCATTTCTTAAGTTTTTCTGCATTAGGAAACAGATTCTTTAGCACAGATTCTTTAGAACACAGCCTTGTATCTCATAATTTTTGATGTCCTGAAAAAAATCTGAAATAACCCCATAGAACCCATTAAGTGGTTGGTTCGTGTTGGTTTTGTAATGTGTTTTGGCACAAATACACAAAATACATGCACTGTTTGCCAGCATATTTGGTTATTGAGTGTGAGTAAAAGGCTAAAGAATTTTACTTCAGCATTATCATTGCTGTAGAAGGTATGAATTCCACCACAATTCCAACTTTTAATTTCAGTGAGTGTGATAAAACACTGTTCAAAATTGAGAAAAACTGGTAGAAAAAATATTTAGAATGCAGAACCTTTGATAATAAGCATGTGATTCCACTTATTATCCACTTACAATCATGTAAAGTTCAATCACATTTTCCCAGTTTGTGCACGAAGGCTCGCAAGACTTGCTCCTATCAGAAAATATCGCTATCTAGAGGCGACACATTGCACTTCAGCTTTTTGAGGAGGACGCAAGTAAGAAACATCAAATTTTGCTGCCTGTAGATGTCAGTATTTAACTTCTACACGAGTAAAATCTTCATGGCCTTCAGACGGCAGTACCTCTGTACACGTAAAAAGATTGCATCTGTACATGTAAAGAAATTACGTCTTTATCTGTTAACACTTGGTTTTTTTAACGTGTGCAGATGATTGGTCATTAGGCGTTTTGGCACAAAATGCATAGCATACTAATAGTATGCGTGTCATTCAGTTATGAGTTCTTTCTCCGTCAAGCAGGGTTACCAGATTTGCTGTTTTCCCAAAAAATCCGGTTAGTCTGAAAGTGCAGTGCTGGTGGAAATTACACTGTCGCGGGGTGCATTTTCTGCTTGGACCTTTTTTTGTAAGTAATTGCAGTCGCTGAAGAAGGTTTGAAAATGAAAACAAGTCATCTTATAAATGTATATTGATCCTGGTTCTGAAAAGCTGGCAACCTGTTCCGTTTCTGACAGCAGCGGAGCAGCGAGAAAGTAAACAGCCGCCCACCATAGTAGTATATATCATACACGTTCTGTCAAACGAGTGATTTATGACACCCCCCCCCCAGAGTGATTTATGACTCCCCCTGTGATTGACAGATCAGTTTTGATTGACAAGTCAGCTGGGTTTTTACGACACCCACACAACCCCCAGGATTTATGACATAATTGTTCAGGTGTCAGTGTGCTGCCTTTGGTGGGGTCACTTCCCCCACCCCATGCTGTGTGAGCAATTAATGGTATGACTATGTGTCTTCTGCTATGTGTTAAAGATGTCTGGGGGCTTTCGCTAAGTTGTTTGATGTTAGAAAGTTTCCTGTATCAACAGACTAAACAGCTGCAAACAGTGATAGTGATTCTGTTTTTACGCCTATTAGTGTGGACCAATCAAACACAAAGGATTGGAATAGGCTATAGCAGGGGCGGGTCTTGAGAAAATGGTGTATTTAGTTGGTTCGCAAGCGCCGTGCATTAACCTATTCAACCTTCGATTTGGAAGCAACATGCCAGCATTCTTGGTAAATGTGTGTTCTACAGACTTTACCTGAATTTCTGTTGTAAGTAATTCAATAGTGTTTCAACTTTTTGCTTAACAGGTTTTTCTCAGTCTAGGTGCATCTGAGTTTGAAACAATCCTTGCTATTAGAAGTATTGAAAGGTTGTCTCAACTTGGTAAGTTTTTGTCATGGCTTTTTATTATTTATTTCATTATTTGTAGTTGCTGATGTTCATCAAAAATAATTATTTTCTGTAGTAGGTCTGACCCGTTTGATTGAAACAACAGGTCTCTTAACACCGCCGGGATTTGACGCTGTACCAAGTACCACAGGGTTCAGCCACAGACAACAACAGGTCCAGATCGCCAACGTTTAAGCCCTTTTTGACAAGCAGGCCCGGGGAACCACTGCAGGGCCGATGCAGACCAAGTGTTAACGATAAGCCTGTTTCACACGGAAAGCATCCAATGAGATGCTCGAGTGCAAATGACAAGTCCATTTCACATGGAAAACGCCTTAGATTTGATGATAGATCCAAATCTGTAGGTAAGAAAAATAAGTGGCTTCTATTCACAATGTTGTATTAACATTAGCGGTTGTGTGTAAATGTTTTTTCTTAAACTGTTTACAGATTTGTACACCAGTGGCCGTTCGGCGTATGTTGATGTGGGGGTATCTGGAGCGGCTGGGGATGGCTTAAGACCGAATCAGGAGCACGAACGTCGGGTAAGCAGCACTTACCATTCTAATGATATCAATGAGCTTAGAACGTTGGTGAGGCAACAGTCTCAAGAGATCACTAAAATTATCATTGAACTGCGCAGACAAGATGCTATCGGGCGTAGATGTAATATTGCTATTCAGAAACTAAACCTACATAATGAGAAAATAGTACAAGAAAATCGTACACTGTACAAACAAATATCAAAGCATACACAGATGATACAGGCTATGCCTGAAGTTCATGATGCACATTTTAAATCTTTAACAAATGCGATGTTTAAACTGAACAGGGTTTTACAGTCAAAACTTTCACCAAATTTGCCTATTGCAGGGCCATCCACAAAGTAGTTATTGTATGGCATTTTGTTATACTTTTGTTTTTTACACGTATTCCTGTTGTTTATATATTAAATGAACCACCTCATCAGTACAACTTAAATTACTGTTTTAAATAATTAGTAGTAAAAACAATTTTTTTTGTTGTATCTAAAAAAAAAGGGGGTCTAAAAGGGGTCTGAAAGGTGTCAGGGGTCTGACAACAATCCGTGTGTTAGCAACACAAATGATGCGTGGGAACATATGTCTGTAAGTGATCCATTGCGATGTTTAAATGACGAGTATGATGCAGTTATTAATACTGGAAGTAATAATCTGCAAGACACAGACACTCAACACGACACAAATATTAATGGTTATATTGCAACTGGTGGTTTACAAACCACATTGGATAAATGGCTGTCAAATAGAAATGACACAATACAGAAGCCACCAACAACACATCATGGATGTAATGATAATTACAGGTGGTCGACAGATTTATGTGTGATAGTGCTGTAAGCGATGCTTGGGAGTAGTCATCTATTAGTGAATGACTGCAATGCTTAAATGATGTGTATGAATCAGCTCTAACTTTCTTAGAAAACCCAGGACAAAATAACACACAACACAGAAACACAGAACAGACAGGGACTGGCTTGCAGACACATAGATTCCCTACACTTGATCCAACAGCTCCTAACTTTGGTTTATCTGACAGTGACATAGCAGTGTTGATGAGAAATTGTGTTGTTGTAGATGGTTATAGCGTGGTGCCGAGAAGTAGGTTTAACAGTGTTATGCTACACAGGACATTGAATTTACATGATGCCCCATCCACAGACATGGCCTCATACACAGCCTAGGTACACAATATGCTATCAGACATTGTATTGTTCTCCAGGGTGTTGGCCGGTGATGGTAGAGTTATCGATATTACCCTAAGAGGTGGTAGTTTAACATCTGATGTAAATGCCATGTTGTCTTTAAGAGATGGTTACAGCGTTGACAGATTTTCAGACGCTGTTGAAAGGGTTATGCAGAGTAACAAGCACATTAAAACAGACAATAGTTTGGTGTTGACTGTCTCAATAGCTATGGGTAAAAATGGTGGTGTTTCAGCGTAAGGTGCGCAACCTTACACACAACCAGGTAATCGATAGGAACAGACTGAATCTTTTCTGCCCAACAAACATCTCAAATAACCTGTGTTTTGCAATCTGCCTTGCTCATTTTCTGAACCCACACGTTCCACATAACACATTAGAAACCATAGCTGAACAGATACAGACAAACGCTGGCTACACACGTGAGCATAGAGTCGGGTTTAGTGACATTGGTCATATAAGTTTAGTGTTAAAATAGTTGGGTTCTACAAGAGCAAGTAGTTTAGAGAAGTACCAAAAGAAAGACAAACCACATGCCAAGACCGTGTTTCTGTATCTCCACGACGGCCATTATTACTTGGTAAAAAACGTGAAAGCATTCATGGGTGTGCCATATTTTTATGAGTTTTGTTATAAGGGATACACAAGTGCCGGGGATCATAGCTGTAAATACATCTGTGATATGTGTCAAGATGCGTTGTGTGTGTACTGTGCGTACTGTGATGACTGTTCACGTTACTGCAAGTCTGACTACTGTTATGATCAACATAAGAAACAGAAACAACAGCCTACCAAAGGAGTAATAGCATCCCCATGCGATCTAACCAAGTATTGTAAAAAATGTGGACGTTGTTATCATGTTATTTTAACAAAACCAAAACCCCACAAGTGTGTGTCAGGGCATTGTGTTCATTGCGGTGAAGAATTAACATCAGATACAACGCATGAATGTTACATACAACTGATCAAATTAAAAGAACCCAGCAATTCATACATCTTTTTTGACTTTGAGACTCGATTTGAAAACGGCAAGCACAACGCTAATTTTGTCTGTGCCATTATGCTTGATGGTAGAGAGTTCACAGCAGAAGGGTCTGACTGTGTAGAACAACACATCAAAGAGTTTAGCCACCCCAAATATATGGGTTACACATGGTTAGCACACAATGCAGCAGGTTTTGACAATTTCTTACTACTGGAATATTTTTCTAAAGTGGGCATTGCTATCAAAATCACTATGATGGAATGTAGACTAATCTCCATATATAACGAAACGTATAAACAACGTTACATAGACTCATACTCGTTCATTCCAATGCGTTTGGCTAATACGACGTCAGCCTTAAATCTAACATGCTCAGAGAAAGGGTATTTTCTGCACAAATTTAATTTGAAGCAAAGTGAAAACTATGTGGGTCCATACCCTGACAAAAGTTTTTACAGCTTTGACACAATGAATGACAAAGACAGAAAACAGTTGGTACGACAAGTTGGAAGACAAGTGGTACAGCACAGACTGTGGTGGTGTGTTCGACTTCTAAAAGGAGTTGTATGTTTATGGCAGGAATGATGTTGTTTTACTATGTGAAGCATGTATTAAGTATCGTGACAAGTTCATTCAGTGTACAAAGTTAGACCCGTTTAATTATACAACATTAGCATCATGTTGCATGGCTGTGTACAAGACACATTTTCTACACACTAGTGCTGACACACAACAATGCATACATTAACCAACACAAGACGTTCTCTAATGTGTCTGTTGAATGGCTTGAGTATGGTAAGCGTACAAGAGATGTTGATGTGCACCACGCCCTAACTCATGGAGCAGTGAAGTTTGGTGTGTATTATGTAGATGGGTATTATGAAAAAGATGGTGTACGAAAAGCCCTAGAATTTAACGGTTGCATGCATCATGGCCATGAATGTCGTTACAGTCCAAACCAGCACCATCCGATGTCAAAGGTATTGTATGGCGAAAACAGTTCGACACCAAGGTAGAGATACTTGTTCGAACATATGGTCTAGATGTGGAAGTGATGTGGGAATGTGAGTGGGCAAATGCTAAGAAGAGCGATTTAGGTGTTGCGGCATTCATGTCTAAGGCTAAACCAAGAGATGCACTCTTTGCTGGTAGAACCAACGTGTATAAATTGTGTTACAAAGCAAAGGAAGGTGAGAAAATCAGATATTTGGACTTCACTAGTTTGTACCCATTCTGTCAGGCTAGGAAGAAATACCCTGTAGGCCACCCTCAAATATTTTTCAAATATTTTCGACCTCTTGAGGAGTACTATGCTCTAGTCAAGGCAACCTTACATCCACCAAGAAAACTCCTACACCCTGTTTTACTGTACCGCTGTAATGGCAAGTTAATGTTCCCACTGTGTCGTACTTGTACCAAGCAGGAAAACCAGTTCTAAATGTGTATGCATAGTGATGAATATAGATCCATTACAGGGGCTTGGGTCAGTATTGAACTGATGAAGGCTATTGAGAAAGGGTATGTGGTGGCAACAATCCATGAGGTGTGGCATTTTCCAGACAGTTTAGAGATGTTGTTATGCGAGTATTTAAAGACCTTTTTACAGTACAAGCAGGAAGCCAGAGGTTATCCAACACACGTTGTCACAGAGGAAGAGAGGGCCGAATACATCAGGGATTATTTTGAAAAGGAAAAGATTCAACTGAATCCTGACAAGATATCTTAACCCAGCATGTCAGTCTATTAACAAATTGTTGTTAAACAGCTTGTGGGGTCGTTTTTCAATGAGGGAAAACTTGCCTGTGTCTGAGCTGTTGACTGACCCTGAACAGTTTTCACAACACATCTTTGGTGATGGATATGATGTTAAACACTTTTCATTTGTATCCGATACTACAGCACTGATTCAGTGGTGCTATTCCGCCGGAGACAGTTGCCCAACACGTGACATTAATGTATTTCTTGGTGCTTTAACAACAGTGCACGCTTTTTTAGAACTGAACAATCTAATGGATAGATTAGGTGACAGACTGTTGTACAGTGACACTGACAGTGTTATTTTTGTTTCTCATGAAAGTAATTGGGAACCCCCTCTGGGGCCCTACACATACTGGCTCGTGCAGGCGGCATAGTGAGAAATATAAAGAACCTCACACTGAAAAACAAGTCAGTGGTGAAGCGCTTTAAAGTTGTATACAAGCGGGTCCTGTTGTCTGATTTTTCAACACTTCCTTATGGGTACTAAAGACGTCCATGACAATGGCGGGGTACGAGAGGTTGATGTGGACCATCAAATTCTGGAAAAACATTTTTGGTAAAACAGTTGATTGAACGTGCTGATGAGTTGGTTTCAAAGAAAATAGAAAACATAGTATACATTTATGACTGTTGGCAACCCCTTTATGATGAAATGTTAAAAATAAGAAATATTAATTTTGTTCAAGGGATACCAACAACGCTAAATGACAGCACACTTCTACCACTTAACAGAAATAATTAGCTAATTATTGATGATGTTATGAAAGATGCTAGCAATAACACTGAGGTAGAAAAGGTATTTACTCAGTATGTACACGTCAAAATTTAAGTGTCATTTACCTAATACAAAATTAGTTTTTTCAAGGAAAAAATTGTTTGAGCACAAATTATTTTATATTATTTAACAGTCCTAGAGACAGCAATCAGGTCAGTGTATAGGTAGACAGATGTACCCTGGTAATACAAAGTTTTTCAAGGAGTGTTTTCAAAATGCTGTAAGTAAACCATTCGGTCATCTCATGATTGATTATAAAGCAAAGACTCTTGAAAACTGTCGTCTTAGAATAAATCTGCTTTCAAACTGTCCTGTTGTTTACATTCAGAAAAAACGCAGATAGATCAGTATGTCTGACAGACTACATAGAAATCTACCATTTTTATTTAAAGCTAAACCAGCGCAGAGATGTGTTATTTTACAAACGGCGTCTAATGAACTTATTTTAATTCTGTGTGAATTAGCTCTTAACGTACGTAATGGTACCAACACAATATCGTATGTTAAAGAAGAAGAAGTCTGAAATTAATTT